AATAATAATAATAATAATAATAATTTTCAACATATACAATATCTACGTGTATGTTATATTTATATAAAATTCTTCTCTTTTTTACCGTTGTTTAGTAGTTCCTCGTCTATAAAACATTCTTGATAATGACTTAAAGCCGAATACAAACAAAATTGTTGGGCACTGAGTTAAGATATAAAGTATTTTAACTACATTTTCAACATTGATTTGTGCTATGTTCTAAAACTTTTACAAAAATTGAATATCATTTGGTATTACACTATCACCTTGAACCTTCGTTTATGGGTTAAATATGAAGACCTTGACTTGGATGAAGTAAGCAATGACGAATGCAGTATTACATTACATGATTCAGGACGTTAGTCATTAAGTCCTTTGTTTAGTGAAAATTAATTTCTTCTCAATTCCTTCCAAACAAGGAATAACCACTTACAAGAAACATAATATACATTGATACCCATTTATAAATATGCTTAGTATATGATATTTGACAAGACCAAAAAACTAAATTATCATTGATTAGCAGGTCGACGACACTAGCACAATTTGAATCCATATCCCTTTAACATGATAATATTAGGAGTAGATACTGGTTGTGTTCGAATACAATATGATAATCGAACTAACAAGATGAATAAATCAATACTAACCGACTCGAATCGATTTGGATCGATATGGTTTGTCGATGGAAGTGAATTTTTTCCCTAAAAAATAAAGTTTCAAAACCTTACCCTTCAAATCAAGGTCCATCGGAACAAAATCATAGTATATATGTTTGTCAACCAATAAAGAAGAAGAGAATTAGGAAATGAATTGCCTACTAACTGCATATAATTTAGATGAGTTCATTTTCTTGTTAAGTACTCTAATAATAGAGAAGTTTTAAAAATAATTTGATATTGTCTTTAGTAGCAAAAAAAGGCATTGGCTTGGGGATCATAATTGGCACCAAATAGTGTGGCCCGTTCTTCATGTGCCACCACATAAAATAATGAATACCAAATTATACAATTTTAACCTAAAATATACTTTGCAGTTTGCAGTGGAAAAGTAGAACAAAAGCAGCTGGTTTTGCATATGCCGTTAGTTTTACTGCCCCATACATGATACAAGGGGACTTTTAATTCTTCCATTTTAGGGAAGGTCACAATTTTTATTAGAGGGGTCTTCAAAAGAGATTTCCCTTGTGAATTGTGGTTTTGAATCTATTTTAGGAAATCAAAATTCTATCCCCACTCGCTTGAGCCCACAACACTGGTGGTTGGTACCCAGTTGGCGCCGTGTTGGTGGCTGTGGCTGTTATCTTGCCGACGAACAAAGGCGGCAGGTAGATACCATTTACCAACACGGTGGAGAGTGGGGACCCTCTTGAGGATATTGACACGGTGGGCCCACAATGCCCTCTTCTCTACTCGTTTGTGGTGGGGTGCGGGGTTTGTTTCGTCCGTTTGTGTCTGGTCTCAACTATAAAGCGACAGGCTTCAAATCTTTCTCACACACAATTCTCTCTTTCCTCTTCAAATCTTTGTTCTTGTGAGTGATCCAAATTGAGTTTCTTCATTCTTTCTGCATCCAAAAGACTCTCAATTGAGTCCCATTCTCCACAGAGCTCTCTGTTTTTCGCCTCTTTTTCTTCAATAATAACGAGCGAAAGAATAGAAGAGAGGATGACAAACCAAAATGTGATGGTTTCTGATATGGCCATAACGGTGGCTGTCTCCAACTCCTCCCTCTTCCCTCCGGCGTCCCAAAAACCTCCGGCGGTGCCGGGAAGTTATATTACCATTTCAAATAAAAAGCTTCTTCAGAATCTTGATATCAATGGCGGTGCAAGAATCAACGCTTGGGTTGACTCAATGAGAGCTTCTTCACCCACTCATATCAAGTCCTCAGCTCTTTCTGACGATTTAAACTCTTGGATTGTAAGCCTCGTATTTATGTAAAATTAAAACTGCCTCCGGCGGTGCCGGGAAGTTATATTACCATTTCAAATAAAAAGCTTCTTCAGAATCTTGATATCAATGGCGGTGCAAGAATCAACGCTTGGGTTGACTCAATGAGAGCTTCTTCACCCACTCATATCAAGTCCTCAGCTCTTTCTGACGATTTAAACTCTTGGATTGTAAGCCTCGTATTTATGTAAAATTAAAACTGTTTCGTACCTATATACGTATATACAGACGAATATACGGGTTTAAAACACGTATACACGTGTCAGTACAGTGTTCTAACAACGTGGGAAATTTCTGGTGAAACAGGTGCACCATCCATCAGCTCTGGACATGTTTGAGCAAATAACGAACGCATCAAAAGGAAAGCAAATCGTTATGTTTTTAGATTACGATGGCACATTATCCCCTATAGTGGATGACCCTGATAGAGCCTTCATGTCTAAAGCGGTTAGTTTCCTCCCTTAAAAAAATAAAAATAAAAAATGCACAGAGTTACACGAAATTGGACTATGTTTAATTGTATTTTTGTATTCAGATGAGAGCAACGGTGAGAGAACTGGCTAGATATTTTCCCACTGCTATAGTGAGTGGGAGATGTAGAGACAAGGTACATTCTTGAAACAACTGGGTTGTAACTTTCATCACCTTTTGTGCGTGTTTTGGATTAATTAATGTTTTTGTTGTTTAAATAGGTGTATAGTTTTGTACGCTTGGCAGAACTATACTATGCCGGAAGCCATGGCATGGACATAAAAGGCCCATCAAAAGGTTCCAAATACAAGAAAGTAAGCTTTGTGTGCTTGTACTTTCTCTCCATTTCCTTCCATTTTTTATTTATTTTTACCTCAAGTAATTTTTCTTAACAATTTTTGAAATTCTCAGGGTGCACAGTCTCTTCTTTGCCAACCAGCCTGTGAATTCCTTCCCATGGTTGACGAGGTCAGTCTTTTTTTTAATATGTGAGTAATGATTTAAGTGTTAGTAAAATCCAACGTTTTTAACAGATTTTAACTTGAAAGCACAGGTTTACAAAACACTTTTGGAGGTAGCAAAATCCACTCCAGGCGCTAAGGTGGAGAACAACAAATTCTGCGTCTCAGTGCATTTCCGCTGTGTTGATGAAAAGGTAGAGCATAATTATAATTAGACCCATGTTATTAATTATTTTCTACCCTCATGATAATATGGGACCTTGTTTTACTTTTCTTGATATGATCAAGTAACTTCTTTAAATAACATTTACATAATATTTTTTCTCCCTCTCTCTCTATGATATATGCTACTGAATCTTAATTAACTAAGAAGGATTGAATAATTTATTTGCAGAAATGGACTGAACTAGCACAGCAAGTTAGAACAGTTTTAAAGGAGTATCCAAAGCTTCGATTGACCTTAGGAAGAAAGGTGTGACAAAGATTCTTCAATTTTTAATTTTTTAATTTTCAGTTTGTAATACCTGCATGCTGTACAGTGTTTTTTTCTTTTGTTACTAAAATATATCTATAATTTTGTTAACAGGTCTTGGAAATTCGTCCTACTATTAAATGGGACAAAGGCAAAGCCCTTGAATTTCTGTTAGAATCACTTGGTGAGTTACCTTTTTATTTTAGTTGTTGGAATTGTTCAATATAGAAAAACTCTTAACAACTTTAGACAATGCTTAGCATGGATCTGCTTTTTCTATAGGATATGCAAATTGTGCCGATGTTTTTCCTGTTTACATTGGAGATGATCGCACCGATGAAGATGCCTTTAAGGTATTCAAAGTTTCGAAATGTACAATTATTGTTAGCATTATATTTCCATATTCCAAGAAATACCTACGTGTGTAAGGAAATGTTCTAAATTAATTAGATTTAGGTTGGTATTAGTAATTTTCCTTATTTAATTTTATCATTTATTGTTGCTTATAATCAGTTTCTAAGGAAAAGAGGTCAAGGGTTTGGGATTCTTGTTTCAAAGATACCAAAAGACACCAATGCATCTTATTCTTTGCAGGAACCTTCTGAGGTAATTAAGAATCTTGGATCAAACACCATTTTACTAATACTATTATGGCTTAAGTATTCAAATATCTAATGGTAATTTTATCAATTATGTTGTAGGTGATGGCATTCCTGCGTCGATTAGTGGACTGGAAGAGACAGTTTATAATGAGAAGATGACTTGAAGAGATAAAAATGTCTCTACCGAACTGAGATCGGCGTGTTATTACAATCAAGATGCATATAATATGTATTTTCTTGTTAGGTCCATAATTCAGAAATATTAAGTATTTTCATGTTTAAAGTGAAAATGATGGGGGAAAAGAGGTAAGAAGAAAATCTTCTCTCTTGGTATCAGGGTCCTTGTACAACTTTTGTAATTAAGCGTGTACGAGGAGAAATTTGTAATTTAACAAGGTTATCTAATGCAAAGATGTTTTCATCTCTCTCCCTCACCCTCCCTCTGTAATTTATTTCTAAAATTCGGTAAGAACAGGCCTCCTTAACCTCATATACACAGCAATATATTGGGGAAATACTTGGGTAGCACCATCATACGTGGTGCACCTCAAGTCCCAAAGTGGTCTCACTTCATTAGGTGAGACTGGACCACCAGATGAGGTGGTGACTCCTCATTTGACGACCATAATAAGAAGTAGAACTCTAGAAGTGGGGTACTTTATTGGGTTCTTCCATTTGCCCATAAAGTTCCAAGTACAATAATATCTGATGCATGTATGTACATAAAGTTCTAGTTACAGTAATATCTTATGCATGTAAAGTTATAAGTACAATAATATATGAAATCAATGTTGCTAATGGAAAAATAACGCATTACCTTTTGAGCAACTTATGAGAATTGAACGGAATAACTATGTTATATTGTTGAAAAATAGCTGAAAATTAGATAAAATAAGGCTATATATGCTGGAATATGTGTGCTGATATTATAGAGAATTCATTTAGTTCGCCACTTCTTACTAGACCTTCGTTCCTTTACATAGGTCATAAGACTAGAGATTGTCCTAATCATGTCAAAATGCAACGTTCCACCGTCCGTTTTGAACAAATTTGGAAGAGAATCCCATGACCTAGGTTGTAGTCTTGCATCTTAGGTCATCATAACTTTTTTTTTGATTAGTTGCTGCGGGTAATGTTGTCATCCAAGGAGAAACACATTTTCTATCATGTCATGATTATATGTCCAGATGACATCTCCCATAGGTTAACGTGTATGGGAGGGGCCTTGTACAAACCTAAGGTGCTATTTATTTGGATTCGAATGAAAAAGACTCATTTGACCAAGTCAATGTGAGTCCCAAATAATCCAACGTCGATTTTCAGATTGACACCAACAATAACCCTTTTTTTACCATAACCATTTTTCGAAATACTAAATATAATATCTCGAAATTGTGTAAAAGGACAAAACAATAATATATGTATATACATTTGTTTGATTATGAATCATTTCCATGATAATACATACAAAATAGTGTAGTTGTATCATTTATTACAAACCGATGAAGCTCTCCGAGGTACAAATCCCTTTTGCGTTCTTTAACCGACAAACCATGGTCACAAGTTTGGGCAAGTAATCTTAATTCAAGTACAACGGTCAATGCCAGACTCTTCTGCAACTATAAATACCATAGAGATAAGATCATAGTTTCTCAATTATTTTTTGTTTTTCAAAGTATAATCTTCATCATGAGACTCATCAAGTAATTAATATATGGACCCATATAATACATCGAATGATCCATCTTTTCTATTAACTGCATGCGTCCCCATGCTGAGTCAAAAAGGAAAGGTTATGACCTTGGTATGAAAAGATGGTTGATCTTCATCCAATTTTATTTTAATCCATATGGGATTGTTGGATAAATCATAAATCAATCTATCAGATTTCACATTTGATATGAATAATTGAGTTAGAAAATCAAATAATTAACACGGCACGTGCTGCTATATTTGGATAATTTCTTGCATGGGAGGGCATGCTTCAATAGTCTAGCTAGGACGTCAAGTTGGCAATGGCGTGCTTTGAAAAGGAAGTAACATTATTGGTTCTTTATGTATAAAAGAATGAAAATGGGCAGTTAAGATTGTTGCCCATGGTGGTTTATGATCCATTTGTATAATAATTGGTGCAACATATACTTATATATTATCGACCCCAATACAAACTTGTTTGTCTAAATTTGATCTTCCCCATGCTCCTTTAAATGCAAACTCGTTTACCAATATCAAAAAAACATTGCTATCTAACATCAGTTTAGGTGACTATTGTCTGCAGGTTCAATTAAATGAGTCATTTGACTTTACATTTAAATAAACTTATTATTTAACGTCATAGAATTGCCACATAAATTGGTACTTAACATCAGTATTGATGAATATCCTTACTCTTATAAAAAACGGAGGGTGACGTCCTTAAATAACATATTGAGATCTTCTAAAAATATTTTATTTATAAAAGAGAGAACTTGTTAAAGTTAGGCTGTTTTTGGGAGAAACTATGCCATTCTCAGTCACAGTAGTCATATTTGCAGAGGTAAAAGAAAACAAAACTAGTTGAATAATTGATTCTCGTACAGCTTAGTGGGCTTGTATGATGAACAATTAGAAATTGAATCTTTGCTAATTAAAAATACATGCAACATTATTGAGATGCCTCCTTTCCCGCATACTATAACTACACTTACACCCCCTTCCGAGGCAAGATATTAAAGAAAGTTGATTGTATTAGCATTATATATATCACTCTTTTTCTATTGAAGCCTACATCTTAACCTATAAACTGAATAAAGATCAACGAATTAATGTCTAACACGCAAGTGATTTTAACTAGATTCTTTTTTCGCGAATGTAATGATTGCAAATGAGACACCTTGAATAGGGCTTTTCTAGTAAACAACGATTTCATGAAATTACCATTTGAGAATAGGGATAGTTATAGACGTTAACGACTGTAATAATTGCATACGTTTTAATATTACTACAACTTGTGACAACGTTTGGTTAGAAAGACATGCACCAAATAATCAAAACTACAAGCATGAGAAAGCATGATACTTTTGAGGCACCCAATTTGACCAGCATTTACTAAGATTGTATATATGTTAGCAATTACTACTACCATCTCAATGGAAACATAACCATTGCTCCCAAACATAACAACAAATATACTAATTGGGTTCCTAGATTTGAAGGATCCCAACTTTTTACAGGTTAGTGAATCCAACTTCTACTATCAAATATTGTGTGCTTTACTTTTTTACTTTTTAGAATTATATTCTATATATAAGACGACTTAAAAAAGAATAATGAGCTTTAATTTTCTTTTGATTAGGTTGTGAAAGGGAAACCAACCCACTAGCTAGGTGTAAGGAATCTAAAAATAGTTGAATGAGGAGTTGGAATCCACTTAAAAGGGAGAGAGAGTTTGATGTGAAGAAAACACATGGATTTTGCAATGTTGACACTAACATCCCTCCAAGTTCTTTGACAACCATAGTTCTTTTGGACGTGGAAAGATGGAGTCCACTAGGTTTATTAGGCCCCCCTCCATCATTGGTACCTTAACTGAAATAAACTAAGTCTTTCTAAACTTCAATTATTGGTAGCCAAGTAGAGAGAGAGAGAGAGAGAGAGAGAGAGAGAGATCCTCTTTCCTTCAATGGAGCCAATTCATAGACTGCTAAAAATCCTCCACATTTTACGATTCTATATTAAAAAATACGCGCTTTCGTTTCTTTTAAAGAAAAGGCTGTATCCATTAAAGTAATCTTCAATTTTCAATTTATATAATTCCCACCAATCTATACTTTAACGAGCAAGTACATAATTTTCATAAATACACGATGATTTGATTTGTACCCACCAAACCGAACTGCCATAGCATGTGAGGCAACACATCATGTGAACACTCGAGAACTAGTTAGAGGGATGGTCCTTATAAGTGTACGTGTCTACAAGAGAGTATACACTGTGTCACTCTCGGGAACCAGTACCCTCCTTGAGGGTTGAGCCATGAAGGGTGGGTTGTCTTTAAAATTGGAATACATTACAATAAATATTGCTATAAATATGGACACATGCATGAATTAATTTGATATATGGTTATATATAGAGAAGTATGTGTTATATATTTATGGTATAAATATAAAATGTGAAAGAAATAATCAAATTAGATAAAGTGCCAAAGTGGTGGGAAATGTGACATTTGTGTGGGACGTCAGGGGTTCGAATCACTCCCCACGCAAATATTAAAATGTCTTGATTTGGGCCTTGGGGCCTTGGGCTCTTGGGCTTCCTTGACTAAAATAAATATTTTTTTTTGGTTATTTAATTGGTAAAACTAGCCAGTATTTTATGACTGTTGGTTTTGTAACAACCCACTAACTGCCATTAAAACACCCACTACTCAGTCATTAAAATTCTGCATTAACATGGTGAAGACTGTTACTACCATCTTGCCTATATAAACCCATGTCTTGCTTTGGGAAAAGACACACAAAAAAAAAAAAATAGAATCAATCACTCTTTTCATATTGTGAACTTCTTATATTCGGGTTTTTATACCTATTCTGGAGTACAATTGAGAGTTCTAGAAAAACCATTCGTGATTGCTGCATAAGTGGTTTACGATCGTTGTATCCTGGGAGTGATTGTCCACGGAGGTCACAGCAATTATTGACGGGCAATTTCACTTTAGGACATCGTGCTGTCACGAGACTCGATCGATAAGTTTTATATTTCTACATTATATTGTTCTGATCACTGCTGCAACT